GAGAACCCCAAACAAAAGGAATCCAAAGAGGACCACACCAAGACACATCATAATTAAAATGCCAAGAGCAGAAGACAAAGAGAGACTCTTAAAAGCAGCAAGAGAAAGAAAGTCAGTTACATACAAGGGAGTACCCATATGACTGTCAGCTGATTTCTCAACAGAAACTTTGCAGGCCAGAAGGGAATGGCAAGAAATATTCAAAGTGATGAATGCCAAGAACCTACAACCAAGGTTACTTTATCCAGCAAAGCTATCACTCAGAATTGAAGGTCAGATAAAGAGCTTCACAGATAAGGAAAAGCTAAAGGAGTTCATCACCACCAAACCAGTATTATATGAAATGCTGAAAGGTATCCTTTAAGAAGAGGAGGAAGAAGAAAAAGGTAAAGATACTAATTATGAACAACAAACATGCATCTATCATCAAGTGAATCTAAGAATCAAGGGAATACATAATCTGATGTACAGAATGAACTGGTGATCATAATAGAATCAGGGACATAGAAAGGGAATGGACTGACTATTCTTGGGGGGGAATGGGGTGTGGGAGATGCGGGAAGAGACTGGACAAAAATCGTGCACCTATGGATGAGGACAGTGGGTGGGGAGTGAGGGCGGAGGGTGGGGCGGGAACTGGGAGGAGGGGAGTTATGGGGGGGAAAAAGAGGAACAAATGTAATAATCTGAACAATAAAGATTTAATAAAAAAAAAAAGATAACATGGACTAGTGGAGTGCTGGTGAGATGAAGAGGAGACAGATTTGAGATGCTCTTGAATATGTTAAAGATTGTTAATTAGAGGAAGAATCAAACTTTGATGTGTGCAACGTTGAGGATAACATTCGGTGGTTAGCACGAGTGCCTGAGTGGGTAATGGTGCCACTGGCTAAAATGAGAAATGGTAGAAAAGGGCCAGGATTTGCGATGGTCTGCCCACCAGTCCACACATTTGCCTTGTCATTTCGATGGTCTAGAGCAGCCGTGGGCAAACTACGGCCCGCGGGCCGGATCCGGTCCGTTTGAAATGAATAAAACTAAAAAAAAAAAAAGACCGTACTCTTTTATGTAATGATGTTTACTTTGAATTTATATTAGTTCACACAAACACTCCATCCATGCTTTTGTTCCGGCCCTCCCGTCCAGTTTAAGAACCCATTGTGGCCCTCGAGTCAAAAAGTTTGCCCACCCCTGGTCTAGAGCAGTGATGGCGAACCTATGACACGCCTGTCAGAGGTGACACGCGAACTCATTTTTTTGATTTTTCTTTGTTAAATGGCATTTAAATATATAAAATAAATATCAAAAATATAAATCTTTGTTTTACTATGGTTGCAAATATCAAAAAAATTTCTATATGTGACACGGCACCAGAGTTAAGTTAGGGTTTTTCAAAATGCTGACACACCGAGCTCAAAAGGTTCGCCATCACTGGTCTAGAACCATGGTCGGCAAACTGCGTCTGGCGAGCCACATGTGGCTCTTTGGCCCCTTGAGTGTGGCTCTTCCTAAGCCTTAGGAGTACCCTAATTAAGTTAATAACAATGTACCTACCTATACAGTTTAAGCTTAAAAAATTTGGCTCTCAAAAGAAACTTCAGTCGTTGTACTGTTCATATTTGGCTCTGTTGACTAATGAGTTTGCCGACAACTGGTCTAGAGACAGGTGGCTGCTCCTGCAACTGGGGTTCTGGGGTGTGCTGCTCCCGGGTCCTCATGTTGCCTGAGGATCTGCCCCAACATACCTTCATACTGCAGGTTGTTGCCTTGGCAGCAAAGGAGGTTGCAAAACTTACTTGGCCGCACACTGCTCACTGTGCCCGAGAGGGTGCTGAGGATTCCTGACTGACTACAGGATGTTTCCATTTTCCTGCTGGGAGAAGGGGAAGTTGGGCTCCATGTCTAAACCTTTTCATTTTCCATAACTGCTACCAAAGGTGTGACTATATCTAATGAAGTAAGTTGTTTTCTTACTCTGACCATGTTTCTGAATGAGCATTATCCTAAAAAACTGGACAAAATGAACACATCTTCTATTTCTTAGACCTCTGTGGGAGTCTTTCTCGTAGACAGCTGTGTTTATACAAGTAGGATGTTCCTATTCCTTCAACTATGGTATTGAGCAGCATTGCAAGTTTTCTAGTAGTCACATTAAACAAAAAGAGGTAAAAGTAATTTAATATAATTTAGCCCAATATGTCCAAAATATTATTTCAATATGTAATGATATTTTTACATTTTTTATGCTAAGTTTTCAAGTCTTATATACATTTTACGCTATGACCCATCTCAGTTAGGACTGGCCCCCTTTCAAGTGTTCACTGTCCACCTGTGGCTGGTGGCTGCTTGCTGGTGGACAGCACAGGTACAGTGAGGAATGCCAGGGCTGTTAGTAAATGGGCTTAGTGCAGATTTGAAAGAACTCTTGAAATAATCTTTATAACTATTCGTGCTGATGTTGAATACGCTTTATTTTATCACTTGATTGTCCTAAGTTTTTGTCATTACTAGTTTTGATCAGTCTTAAACTTCGTGCTCTTGAATATGCTAAAGATTGTGTTAAAATTTGAGGATTCATCTCTTATTTGCTTTTTTCAGCTCTTTCCCACCCTGACCCCCAACCTTCTTCCCAGTTGCCCACAAATCTAGCAAAATTCATTCTTTATTGTTGCCAAATATTTAATTTCCTGCAGGATACCAGGTCTCTTCCCTCCCTTGCCTTCCAAATCAGCTTCAACTCCAACTCTTCCTATAGAAATGAGTATCCTATTTTTTTAAGTTCTTTAATATGTTTTTATTGACTTCAGAGAGGGGGGAAGGGAGAAGATAGAGAGATAGAAACATCCATAAGAAAGAAAACACCCCCTACTGGGGATTGAGCCTGGAAACTGGGGCATGTGCCCTGACTGGTAATCGAACCCTTGATCTCCTGGTCCATGGGTTAAGGCTCAACTGCTCAGCCACAGTGGCCCAGCATGAGTATCCTATTTAATCATCTTTGGGCAGTTTCATGGCCTTTTCTGGCAGCACTTTTTTCCTTTTATTTGTTTATTTATTTATTTATTTATCCTCACCCAAGGATATTTTTCCATTGGTTTTTAGAGAGAGGGAAAGACAGAGAGAAATATCAATGTGAGAGAAACACATTGATTGATTGCCTCCTGCACGAGCCCTGACCAGGGCCTGGGCTGGGGAGAAGCCTGCAGCCCAGGTATGTGCCCTTGAACAGAATCAAACCTGGGACCCTGTTGGCTATCCAGTGAGCCAAACTGGCTAGGGCTCTTCTTTCCTTTTAGTATAATAACCTTGACAGTTAATAAATTTTTTTATTTCTCTAACTCATATCTATTTTCATGTTATAAACTTACCTCTTGTGTTCTCAGGGGGATATATCTGGAAGCGTAGTGCTTGGTGGTAATAGTAAGCAACCAGTGAGTATTTGAGTAATAATTTTATGAACCAGTTTTACTTGGTTACTAGTAGTCTCTGTCTTGTCTTTGTCATAATAATTGCACCTTGGTTTTGTGTGGGGGTTTTTTTGCCTCCTAGCATCTATTTTTAAAAATTGGGAAGGGGGTGTGAGAAAGAATAAGATGATGTCAGCTGTGCTTCACTCATAGGCACAAGTGAGATAATTCATGCAAAACTGTTTTTGTAAACTCTTAAAACAATGTCTCGCTTGTAGGTTGTGAACTATTAAATTTGAATTACCTGCTTCACATGCCCTCATCTGACCCTGTATGTGGTGGAGATTCGGGGTGGGTCTGTATATTGGAAGCCTGGGGGGCACCGTTGGAGAACACACAGGAACTCCTCTGCACCTCCTTTTAAATCAGAATGCTGAGATGAGTGTATTTTTTTGAAAGGCTTCCTTGGTGACTGATGTATATACATATGTGTACATAACATCCACCCCTTATGGAAGCTGAAACCCCTGATGCTGCAGTCAGCACTACACATTATTACTGAAATGGATGCAGCACTTGGCAAGCATGTAATCGTCATGGCTGTCATGTACGGGACACATTGGTAAACCTTCGTGCGGCTCTGGCTCTTTATCAGTGAGGATACATTCAGGGAGCAGTCCACTTAGAACCAGGTGATTCTGTAGTCTCTCTGCTGTTTGCAAATCTGGTCCATTTATTGATGTCTGTTCTGTGGTGGCTCCCAGAGAAGAATCTTCCTGCACTGGTGCCAGCCCTGTGGCACTCCTGGACTGCAGCATGCTGCAGGCTTATGCCAATGCCAGGTTGTGCTCAATACAAGCCAGCAGCTTCTGCTTTTGTGTTGTCTGGAGCCTCCAGAGACATGCGGGAGGGCCTGGGGAGAGGACACTGGGAAGGGAGAAGGTGCAGCTGGCCCTCCTGAGTCTAGCCCTGGCCACTATCAGCCAGGGCTGCCAGGAGTGACTAGAGACCAGCAGAGGACCCAGTGGAGCGCAGCCTTAAACTAGACTCCTACTAAACAGATGAAGAGGATGTTGGTCTCAGCTTCAGCCACTGAGTGTGGGGCAGTTTGTTACACAGCAGTGGAGAAATTGACACTAGTTTTCTACTTAGGGAACGGGCTATATTTTTATATTTATTGGTTTTTGTATGTTGCTGCTGAAGTAGTTGTTAGTATATGTCATTTTGTTATATTTCAGATTACTAGGTATAATCATTAACATGCATTTTTCTCCTAAGCAGCTGATATTTGTCTTAAGAGCATTACTAATAATGTTTATTGAGGACTTATTACATACTAGATATTCTACATGTATTTTCATTTAATTTTCACAGCCACCTATAAAGTAGATGCTATTATTATCTCCATCTTCCAAATGAGGAAACAAACTCAGGAAAACTGCCTGCACTCTCATAGCTAATCATCACTGTCCTAGTCTGCTTAGTAAAAAAATGATAAATGTCTTGTTTTTCTTTTTTATACTTTTTTGTTGAGGTATAATTTACATGTAGTAGAGCTTGAATTTTCACATGAATGCCTTTCTTCCTGTTAAGATGACTGCGTTCCCTCTGTTGAGAATGCCTCTAGCTGGCATTCGGGTGTACTGCACTGGCATCTTTTTCAGAATCACCCATGGAATAGGAACAGTCAGTGTTTATGGACTCAAGGTAAACTGTGTTGATCATGATTTGGGGGAAGCTTTATCGACTTTAGAATGCAGTACTGGAATTTAATAGCCATTTGCTGAACACATTATAAGTTGTATTCTAATTTTAATTGCGTACTCTCATCAACCCCTGCCCCCCAAAGCTGCCATCAGCAGGTGGCGTGTTTGAGAATAAATGGAGTCTTAGAAATGGAAAAAAAAAAAAAAATGATTATTGTGTGAATACTTTTGGCCCTGTGAAGTTTACCAGAATTCTTTTTTTTTTTTTAATATATTTTATTGATATATTTTTACAGAGAGGAAGGGAGAGGGAAAGGGATAGCGAGTTAGAAACATCGATGAGAGAGAAACATCGATTCAGCTGCCTCCCACACGCCCCCTACTGGGGATGTGCCCACAACCCAGGTACATGCCTTTGACCAGAATCAAACCCGGGACCCTTGAGTCTGCAGGCCTACGCTCTATCCGCTGAGCCAAACCAGCCAGGGCCAGAATGGATATCGGTCTATATTTTATGTAAAATAGTAGGAACTTATTTCAAAAGATGTTACCCAAGTTTTGTAAACATTTCTTTAGAATGTTTGTGAAAGAACTTTTTCAAATGCATTAGATTCTGTTTAGTCTCTTTTCATAAATTTTTAAAAATAGAAGTGATGCCTTCAATAATGTCTTTGGAAATGCTTAACTGTTTTGTTAAAGTCTTTGGCAGACCTTTAGAAAATCAGTTTCACCTATTCCAATTACTTTGATGGGTGTTTTTTCTTTTCTTTTCTTTTTTTTAAATATATTTTATTGATTTTTTACAGAGAGGAAGGGAGAGAGATAGAGAGTTAGAAACATCGATGAGAGAGAAACATCGATCAGCTGCCTCCTGCACATCTCCCACTGGGGATGTGCCCGCAACCCAGGCACATGCCCTTAACCGGAATCGAACCTGGGACCTTTCAGTCCGCAGGCCGACGCTCTATCCACTGAGCCAAACCGGTTTCGGCGATGGGTGTTTTTTCTTACAACAGTTCTTCATGTAGTCGGGAACCTAGTATTGCCAGGTGCCTGTTTACGCTGACTTCCCCTGTCCTCCTATCTCTATCCCGCGTATCATTTGGGTTTTTCATCAGCCTTCATCTGGCCCAGTCCAGGGTCCTCTATGGGGAGCTTGCATGGTTCCTGGGAGGGAATCAGTGACTGTATCATGTCCCAATTGCCACCCTTTCCCAAACACGAAAACGTGGCCCCAGTGGTCAGCAGCTTTCTTTTAAGTTTCTGCATTGGCATCTTATGATGGTTACTCAAGTCCATTATGAGGGCATACCTGATGGCTATTTCTTTTACAAAGACCTAAGTTTCTTGAGGAATTTTGTCTAGATTCTGTCAATTGAGAGTGGGTGTGGGGTCAAGTGTTATGATTAAAGCAGTGACGACTCCTATCAGAGAGGACTCCTATTTCTGTAAAATATAAATTTATCAGAGGAATGATGTTCATAAAAAGACATTAAATATTTAAGTTTTATTGTAATACAGATTAATATTATAATCAATTAGGTGCTTGGGTTACAAATTAATTTAACTCATGCTTCTTAAACAGTAAGGAAAGTTATTTACACACATAAGTGGAAGACTAGTGGTTGACTGAGTGGTTAGTCAATTCAAGAACAGAGATTCTTGGCTTGGCTGGTATTGCTCAGTGGTTGAGCATTGGCCTATGAACCAGGAGATCATGGTTCGATTCCTGGTTAGAGCACATGCCCGGGTTGCGGGACAATGCTTTACCCACTGAGCAAAACTGGCTAGGACTCTCATCGATGTTCCAATATCCCTCTCTCCCTTCCTCTCTGAAATCAATAAAAATATATTTAATAAGTAAATATTTTTTTAAAAAAAGAATAGAGGTTCTTCCATCTCTTTATTTAGCCATTCTTGACTTTGGCTTTAATAAGGTGTTGGCTGCACCCTGTACCTAGTTTAGTCAGAACTACTGGGGTGAGACCCACGCTGTAGTTTTTGGAATTTTCTAGGTCATAACAGAGTGCAGCTAAATTTGAGAACCGGCACTCTAAACTGGAGAACTTGGTTTGGAGATCAGCATCACTGGGGAGCTTGGTAGAAATGGAAAGTCCCACATCCTCTACTTACCTGACATTTTCCTTGAAGGCTTTTTAGACCAGGGTCTACACACTTTTCAGGTGTTATGGTCCCATTACTGCAAGCCACACAGGTCAAATGTGTCTCCATGGGTGTATTTAACTTGGGTTAGTAGACTGGAGCTTTAAGTGACTGAGATCGTTTCTGTAGAGTGCACTCATGTTCATGGTCAAGCATGGACACCCAACAGCTGCAGCACCCAACAAGAGCTGTCTGTAGTGCAGAGAGCAGAGCGGGAACGGAAGTTGGTGTACCACCTTGGACTTGAAAGCTATTTAAATATTTCAGAGGCACTGTGAACAAAGCACATGGAAATGGGGTAAACCAATGGAGAAACCAAGAATGTGTTTGTAACTATTTCAGGAGGGAGGAGGGTTTAGGAGGAGACCAGGAGGAAATGGGATCTCGAGGACAAGGGGCTAGAGCAGCTTTTGTGGGAAGAGGAGCTGCACAGCACAACCCATTCAACAATTGTAGTAATTGTTCACATTGACTGATCTGGGAAGTAGAGGTGTTCACAGCAGGTGACCTCTGAGGTTAGGCATTACCCCTTATTCATGGCTGTATTCTAGTACCTGGTCCATAACAAGTGTTACTTTAAGTGCTTATGGTCTGAGCTGCTGAGAGGAGCTGGAGGATTTGGGAGCGCCCTGGAGGCTGGAGAAGTAGGGTGATCTGTTCAATTTGAACTTTTGCCAGAGGGCAGTGGTTCTTCAACTGTAGTGTGCAGCTGAATGGGTAGGGGATTAATATTCCCATCCTGTAGGTTTGGGTGGACTCAAGAATTTGTAGTAAGTTACCCTGTGTCGCTGCTGGGAAACTTGGCTGTTGTAGGAGGAAAGGAAGCACAGAGAGGGTTCCTGAGGAGACCAGACGTGGTGGGGTGCAGGCAGGCACCGTAGCTTGAGAGAGGTCTCCAACCCACATAGTTGTAGGACTTGCCTGCAGCTGAGTCCAATAGGCTCAAAGCAAGTGATTAAATCATACAATTTATTGGAGGGCCCAGGGAACGGAAATGGGAGGTTTCTGATGAAAGGCTAGTGGACAGTGACTGATCTTGGGGCTTCAACGGATAGGGAAGGAAATGGTGGGGATTGGAGATTCAGGGTATAATCATTTAGAGTAGTTTATTTCTAACCTTTTTCACTGTAGCCTGTAGTAAGACATACATTTTATTTTGCCCCCCAATCACGAATGTGAGTATAACTGATCTAAAGTTTCATAACACCTTTCTTATTTACATTCCACTCTGGTGTTCCTGTTTCTTTGAAAACAGTGATCGTAGCATAGTATGTGAATTTTGTGACCTGGTGGGAAAACATCACTTCCAGAGATGGTTGTGATTAGAGTCAGAAAGTGAGGGCACTGACAGAATGCTGCCCTGCTTACTGATCGGTGCCTGTAGATATCGGAGGTGGAGTCACCAGGTGGTCACCACGCAATGGTGTGCTCCTGGGGTGGGTCACTGAAGTGGCATGGAGACAATTTTTGGTGGCAAGACCAGTGAACTTTGAAGCTAAACTGTTAGGACAGACAGCTTGTGGACATCAAAGTTCTGTAAGGTGATGTGAAGAAGTTGAAGTGAAAGTGAAAGCAGTCCTTGGAATGGGTTGTGTCCCAGATATACCATGTGGGCCTCGTGGACCCTTCTGCCCAGTGACTTGATAGCCTAGTTGCTAGATTGAAACCCTCTCCTCTCTGTTATATCCTACGGTTCCAGGGAGTGTGGCTTTGAAGGGGAAGGAAGGTAATGTACAAGTAGTTGGGGTTTTTTAGGAGAATAAGCATGAAAACTAGTTCAGAATTCATCTGAAAACTATTAAAGTGTTTTGTGTAAACAGTACCTACTTTGCAATGATCATGAAGTATGAGATTTAGTTGACAACCTTGAAAATAGATCTTCTGTAGTGAAAATATTGGGTGGAAAAACGTACTGTGCCGTATTGTCATTGTGAAATACATGTAACTGTGCAGTTTTTACCTGGTAAAAGTTCAGGTGAGGCTTTTTAAAAAATTGTTTTTATGATTTTTAAAGTTAAGGTGGTTTTTAGTTCTGAGGAAGAGTATTAGAAAGTTAATGTGGGATACTGGGATATATTATTTTCAAATCTTGCATAATGTGTTACCAAATGGGAAGATTTGTCTCTGTGTTGATACACACATCCAGGTATGTGCTGCTTTTCAGTTTACTTCAGCTCACTCCTGTGTTGTTATCATATAGCATTTCTCCAAGAATTGGTCAGGAGTTTGAGATTCTGCCCAGGTTATACAAACCTATGAGCCTCTGAGAGCCTGATTGGTGCTAAAACATCTTCAGGAAATAATAGGTATTTCCAGGATGTGAATTTGACAAGGACAAAGGCCCAAGTAGATGTAGAAGGTTATTATGAGGAAAAATATAAAAGGTGATCAAGTAAATAATATCATTTGCTGTAGGTCAACAAGGCCTTTTGTAGCTGCAAGCAAACTGCAGTGGAAACGCTGGCCAAAGGAGCCAACTTACTGCTCTAGAGGATGAGGACGTCCCTTAAAGCCAGAAATTACTAGAACCAGGACTGAGAAGATTATGAGCAGTGGGATTCATTTACTAAGATTAATTATCAGTTAGTGCTGACTTGAAGATTTCAACACCAGTTGCCTAATAATTCTGCTTTTAATGGAAACAGCAGAAAACAGCTGTCATGTCAGCAAATGTAGCCTTCCTGTCCCTTCTTAATTTAAATAATTAATGATCTTCCCATAAGGGAGAGTCCAGTGGAGGAGAGACCCAAGGGAGACTTAGCTGTTCTTCAGCCCCACTTCTGCTGGTGAATTAGCACTTTCTCCCAGCCTGCCTGACGGAGAAGTCCAGCTGCTCCCTGAAGACTGGGGCTTCCGATCTGGTGCCCAGTCACTCAGGGGGAGTTCGCTGTCATCCTGCACTTGATTCAGGGTGGGTTACATCGTGTGCTTTTGCCAGAATGATTGCTTATGTTTTCAAGTTAAATGGGAAGTTAACCAGGGCACAGAATATGCCCTCTGTGATATAAATGAGGAACTCTTCTTTCGAGATGAACCAATAAATGTATTTTTAAGATGTGGTCCACTTGTTAGCTGTAACTATTTATCTCATGCTGTCTTGTTCAGTGTTTAGGGTTTTCTTTTCAATTTGGTTGTGGCTGCCTAAATTTCCTGTGCTAGCTCCTGAGGCTGTCCTCCCCTCCCCTCACCCCTGTAGGTGAGGTTTTTGAGACTCACCTGGTGCCAGGGCAGAGAGCTGTCTAATCCAGTGTTTCCTACTGGTTTTCCTCCACGTTGGGGGAGTTTATCACATACATCACACTTAACTCCTTTCTTTACTGGTTTTAGTCCAGTTCTGCTTCCAAAAAAAAGTTATAAAAATCTTTTTAATCCCTTTCTTTTCAGCTTTGTAACTCTTGACCACTTATCTGTAAGGGAAAAAAAATCTTATTTCTTCCTTCTCTTCTTTCCATGTGTAAGACCCCCCCAAAAAAAAACAAACAAAAAATACAAACCCCCAGTGTCTGGAAGTATTCTTAAGAAGCCCTGAAGAAGGTTCTTTTCTCTTCTTTCTTCCTAATTAAACATTTTGCTTCAAGCAATAGCATTCGATATAAATAAGAATATTCTTATTCTTTAAAATTTTTCAGTTTTGCTCACATAAAAGAGGGTTTTCTATTGCTATTTTCATTACATAAAAGCTGTTCTATATCTTGAGCTAAATGCCTCTTTATGAGCTAGCTTATATAACATGGTCTTTTGAGCACAATTCTTTTGAAATGCATACAGTTCCTGGACAACTACTGTATCCGGTATCACAGGCAGGCCCGTGTTTGGGGACCAATAAGTACTAGACAGTTATTTCTTCATTTCTATTGAACTGTTTCCTAGTCACATTTATAAAGTTGAGATCTTTTGTCGCATCTGAATGTATGAGAGTGCCCTTTGGCGTGTCTGCAGGGTGTGCAAAGACTAATTAATGAAAGTACTTGCAGATAACTTCAAGCACTAAAAGAAAGAAAACAGGATGGTCTGATAGAGTGGCATCAGGGAGGTGGCACCACCTTAGATGGGGTAGTTTTAGCAATGGCCTCTCTGAAGAAGGGACATTTGAGTGCGGACCAGAATAATGACAAACGTGAGTCAGACCTTCAGAGATGTGGGGCTGGTTAGAACAAAGGCGCTAAGGCTAGTAGGAACTTGGCAGGGACAGAAGAATGTGACTGGAGCCTGGGAGGTCCCCATGGCGGAGTGGTAGCCATTGAGGTTAGGGAGGTGGGCAAGCAGGCCCTCTCCCCCGTTGTGTGTGGGTCATGGTTCTGAGTTGGGGAACCAACTCTAATCACAATTAGGATTTTAAGCAGAGAAGTAATGTGTAATTTTCCAAAGCTCTTGTAGGCTGCCTTATGGAGAATGATTTCAGTTGTCAGTAATTCTGGAGACACCGTGAACTTTGTGTTTAGCTGCTTGAGAGGAGTAAATAACAAGCCTGCCAACTTGGGGATTTTCTGGCTGTCTCCCAGGAGCTCCCACTTTTAAACCCGTTTATCAATTGATAAATTTCTAAGTATAAGAGGACTGACTGCCTTTGGTGTGAAAACCTCACGCCCCCTGTGAACTCCTCTCTGTGGTTTCGGGGAGACAGGCAGACAGGAAACTCCAGGAGTCCCGCCCTCCCTGTCTCTCCCTGCAGGTCCTGAGATGGAAGTTGATTCTGCAGCATGTCTAAGGGTGGACCTGAGAGGGAAGGATTTGGGATGGAATTAGGGAGGAACCACTCCCTGCTTCCTGGTGATAAAATAGTCTGGACTGTTTCTTCCCAGGGAGCCCTGCTCTGATGTCCTCCAGTAGAAATTCTATATGACATGTAGCCCTGAGAACATAGGGCTCAGTTATCACAGTGTTTTGGTGAGTCCAGAATATTTCTGAACTGTCCGTGTGCAGGACACTGGTAGGCCTTTGACACTGGATGATAGACACAGGGTTTCTACCTTCACCAAGTATTAAAAATAAAAACTTTCGTTATTTTTTCAGCTTACCCTCTAAACAGCCATATATGAAAAAACCCAAAGAAATGAATCATGCTTTACTCATTGCCATATTAAAATTAATAGCCAGATTTCAAGGATACCAGAGGAGATCAGCTTAGCTTACACCTTATTTAAGAGTTGTTTACCTTTAACAGAATATGCAGTGTGCTTGTTGGTCAGTATATCTGTTAATGTCACAAAGCATTTAATTCATAATAGCTTATTTGCTTAAATTTCTGTCATATTTTCACAGAATTTTAAGATTGCCTAAATGCTAATTAAAGGAACATTTTCTGATCTCAGTACCTTCAGTTTCTTCATCGGTTACAGTGGTGGGTTTTTTGTAAAATACTAGAATTACAATTTTTTGCCTTGATAATGCCCATACATTCTGAGTTGTCTTTTTCTTTTACAGGGAAATCCTCGTTGACGATTCAGTTTGTTGAAGGCCAATTTGTTGACTCCTATGACCCAACCATAGAGAACAGTAAGTATTGTTTTCAAGGATTTATAAACTGAGGAGCCTGCCTTCTGCATACAAACAGCCATTGTGTGTTTGGAGGCTTTGATGGAAGAGTATTCAGTTAGACTTATAGATCACCAACTCGGGTCCAAAAAATGCTTCCAAAAACTTGACCCACTTTACAGCGAGTGATTTTTTTTATCCCGCATCCAGATCCTGCCATTTAGAAATTGTTATTCATCTCCATAGGAATCAGAGTCCTGTATCGGAACCCCATATTCTAGGTTCTGCTTTAGGAAGATGGAGAGAGTGCTTCCCCCCCCCCCCCCCTCCTTTTCCTTCCTCTTAACAGTAGCCCTCTCTAGGGATTCTAAGCTGGAGAAGGAAGATGCAAACACTACGAGTTCTTTGTACTTTACTGTTGTGGAGGCCCCAGCTGCCCGGCCCGGCCAGTCGTGGACACTTAGGGAAGGAAGCCTGGGAGAAGTGAGCGAGCTGTTCTGGGCTTGGACAGAGCAGTCGCAGCGCTAGAACAGAGCCTGCTGGCCTGTCAGGTTGTGTGCAGCACAAGCACCAAAGACTAGAGCCGGCCACGACCTTTACCTGGTCCAGTTTCAATCCATGGTTTCAGAATCTCCCTGAAGGGTTCCAGGGCCTTGAGCCAAATCTTAATTCTGGGGCTCACGGAGGAGAACCTGAGGCACTTCGTCCGGGGAGGTTGCTTGTTGAAGCTAGTCTGGTTTCAGGCCATGTTAGAACCCCAGCTCACCTGGAACCAGTCTTCTCAGATTGTTGACAGCAGGGCTTACCTGGGACTTGTCACCAGGAACTTACAGATTTAAACATGGGGTTCAACAAAACCTGATTGGCATATTAGACAGGCAGCCTACCTAACAGCCAGGCTCACCAGCTTTGACAACTAGATTCATAGACTTCACCCGCCCAAAGCTTGCAAAAGAGACTTAAAAAGAGGCTCTCAACGGGAGTTGACAAATTTGGGCCAAGTTGCCCATGAGCTAAGAATGGTTTTTACATTTTTAGTATTTGAAAAGAGTCAAAAGAAGAAGAATGTTTGTGACATGTGAAAGTATACAACTAGAAATTCAAATTTCAGCATCCATAAGTAAAGTTTTATTGGAACACAGCCATTCTCATTCATGTACAGACTGTCTGTGGCTGCTGCTTCTCTGCAACAGCAGAGTGGGTGGACAGTTGCAGCAGAGACCATGTGGCCCACTGAGCCTAAAATATTTACTGTCTGGCCCTTTCCAGGAAGTTTGCTGACCTCTGGCTTAAAATATCCAGCTGTCCTTTGTCCCGTTCACTGGTAGCAGGGAAGGAAACCTGTTGATTGCTAAACTAACTGGGAAGTCACGTGTTTGAAAGTAACCTCTGCCTTATCTGGAAGGAGGAGTCCTGATGGCATCCTGTTGATTTCCCTAGCTGTCGCGGAATAGTGTGCCCTGTGAGGACAGATTAATTTGAATGCTGAGTGAACAAGTTTGGTTCTCTCTCCATTGGCATCGGAACACAAGAAAACCATGCTCTTGGCCTTGATATTTGCTCTACATAGCAATTTAGAATGTAGTGTCCTTTAAGAGATAAGGCTCGTTTAAGAATTTTATTCATAGAACAATAGAAGATAGTTTTCATGGTAAGCTCTGCTTATAAAAGTGATTTTTATAATTGTATATCTTTGTGCCATTTAAGATTGAGTGGGAAGAAAAGTCAAGGTGTTATCTATAAATGCGTTTTCTTTATGTGTAAGTAATGGATCAGACAAAAGTCCAACTTCCTTACCTTGATACTGTCTCAGAAACAGAATGAAAGGACCCTACTTCAAAGGCTGTCAACATCATCTTTAGTCATGTTTTTAATGTTTTCCTATCTGATACTTGGTGTTTAATAATACTTTTTTTTCAGTGTCAGAAGTGAATTTATTTAAAGTCTTTAGGCAAGAGCAGAAATGAGTATCAGAGTATATTAAAAGTTCATGAGCATGCCCGACCAGCCGATGTGGCTCGGTGGTTGAGCATCAGCCTATGAACCAGGAGGTCATGGTTTGATTTTTGGTCAGAGTACATGCCTAGGTCACAGAATCCATCCCCACTGTGGGGTGTGCAGGAGGCAGCCATTAGTGATGCTCTCTCATCATTGATGTTTCTATCGCACTCTCCCTTTCCTCTCTGAAATCAATAAAAATGTATTTTTTTAAAACGTTCAGGAGCATATTCAGACATCTGATTCTATTTTCCATGCTTCTGACAGTAACACAGGGCAGAAACCCTTCCTCGACCCTTCCCCCACTATTTAGTAGAAAAACATTGCTCAGGGATAACAGGGGATTAGAGAGGAATGGGATTGTCGTCATAAACTTGTTGCTCACCACATAAATAGATGGTTTTGTGGTTCTAAAAAACACAATGAATCTGGAAATGATCCAGTAATTATTTTACACTTAACTCTAATATAGAACAGGGTGTTTGTAACAAACATTCAGCATTGACACATTTATATGCAGTGTCACTGCAAAAGCAAAAAGTCTGGGACTTTTAAAACATAGGAGAAAACATCGATAAAACCACATATTTTTTGTGTTTGGGGAAATATTTACACCGATGATCGTGCCTGTGCAAATGTGCTTTCTTATGTGCCTTTGTGCTAATCTAACAACTCAAACTAGATTGACATTAGGACATGGAGTAATAGTTTATAATTTGAAGAGGAATAGCACCAAATCACAGCTCTGCTATCCCCAGGCAGGACTGCTGATGAATTAATAAAGCTCAGCAAATTGGAAAGTAGGAATCAGGAATTTATCAAGCCTTGTGTGGTGGGCAGACTGCCCAGTGGGGTGTGGGTGAAGAGTTCACCATACACGTTAGTAACGCAGATCTTACTTTGTGAACACCAGATTTAAAAAGTCTTCAGGCTGAGCCTTGTTTATTAGATTTTACTGGTAAGTAGCTATTAGCCTGCTTAGAGAAGTTTCAGGGTTTTAAGCTAGAAATTAGATTAATTTCTCTGGAGATTGAAAAAGGGAGAAAGGGTTCAAGGAAAGTGGTGTCAGGGGAAAGCCAGCTTCTCTCTTCACAAGGCGGTAGAAGAGTTTGCTCCCAGTCTGTGGACTGGCAGTCGGATCGCAGGATGCTTCCTTTTTTCTGTAGTGACAACAGGAGGCACTTCTCCCAGGACAGATGGAAGATCTTCGGTTTCATCTTACTGCTTTGTGTGGGAGGGTTTACATCCTTTTTATGTGCAAGGATATGCTAAACGTTTGTTAATGTTTTATTTCTTTTCTGTCTTATGTTCAGTTCCATCTCCTGCCTTTTTACTCCTACCTCCCTAGCCAGTACTTTCCAGTGTCTGTGGCCGAATCTTCCCGTGTTTCTGACCTGGCAGCTCAGGGAGCCCCTGGGTGTGCATGTCGGGCTCAGGCTCTCTCTGCCCTTGCTCTCCAGGGGTCTTCCCCTCGAGAATTTGCCCGTCTCACCGAGAATTTGCCCGTCTCACTGTACCCAGCCCCAGCCTCTCCCCTCAACTCCGGGCCTTTTACTGAGCTGCCCTCAGTCCCCTTGGGTATTTAATGGGCTTCTCAGACTGACCATACCTAACCCTGCCCCTCAGTCCCCTCCTCTGCTGCCCCAGGGCCCCTCCCAAAGGCTTTTCTGTGTCGGTTCATGGCAACTCGTGCCTCCAGTTGCTCAGGCCAGAAACTGGAGTCTTCCTGCCTGCCTGTTCTTCACACCCTACCACAGACAACCGGAAAATCCTCTTGGTTCTACCTTTGAAGTATATCCAGAATTCCCCATGTCTCACACCTCCATCTCTGCCCCCCTGGTCACTCTATTATGGGCTCCCACCCATGTCCCTTGTCCATTTTTCTATTCACAGCCTAACCAGAGTGATCCTTTAAAAATATGAATCAGATCCAGTTACTCCCCTGCTCAAAAACCCTTGGTTTCCCATCACTTCCAAATAAAAATCTGAAGTTCTGACCAAGTCCTCTATGGCCGCCTGCCCCTCCTCTACCTAAGTGTCTGCCCACCATTCTCAGTCTCAGCTGCACTGACTTTTCTCTTTTTTTGTCCTCACCCGAAGACATGCTTAGAGAGAGAATGGGAAAAAGAGAGAGCCAGAAGCATTGATGTAAGAGAAACATCGATTGGTTGCCTTAATTCCAACCAGGGATCGAACCAGCAACCTTTCTGTGCACAGAATGCTCAGCCAACAGCTGCTCCAGCTGGGCTGCACTGACTTTCTTTTCTCACTGAGCCTCTCCTTGCCATTGTACCTCCTGGTGCTGCTCCCAGAGCAGATACCTGACAGCAGGTCTGTCCCCGTCCTCCTTCCTTCATGGTGTCAGCTCACTGAGGTCAGGGACCCAGTAACTCCCATCACCTAGTGGCAAAAATAATAGGCACTCAAGAAATAGTTCTTGAGTGAGTGAATGGTGTTCTTTGTAGATAATCTTTTCATAATAATTATACTTTATAACCACAATTACTTAGTTCTAACTAAAGGTTGCTATTTTATTGCTCACCGGTGTTTCTTCTAGAATTTTCATCAAGTCTGAAATATGTTGATCTTAGGTGAGGTGTGGAAGGCAGGTTTTCACCCAGGTGCCTCATGGCTGCCCCCAGGCCCACAGTGATGGAACGCACAGTCGATGCACTGTGCACCCCAAGTTCAGAGAGGTTGCAGTGTGAAAAAAAAAATATAGTAGAACCTTTTCTTAGAATTCTTTCTTTAAGTGATAATTTCCAGAAAGGGCACAAGAATGCTCTCAAGTGTGCAGTTGCTCGAGTAGTGCGGTCTGTGCCCTGCTGGCACTCGGAGAGTCTGATGCTGGTATGGTTCTCCCTCTGTCACTTACAGTTTCTCTCGTAACTGTCAGCATCTGTCTTTCCCTTTTGGCATGGGGTAGAGTCTACTGGCAGCTCTGATCAAGTCCAGCGGGCAGCTAGGAGATGTAGGCTCTTCATGAGCCAAGAAGGCTGGGATGGGGTGCAGCACCTTTTCCATTTGGTTGTCAGGGTTCCAGGTGGTTCTTTGTAATAGTTATTATTAATAGTCTTTCCTCTTGTCTATATTTGCTTGAAGTCTGTCTCCTTGAAATTCTGAATTGACTTTTCTGGAAGTTATTTGAGTCTGATTTCTCCCCCCTTGTTAGGGAAAAGAAGTTGTGACCAATTGTTTGGATCCTAAGCTAAGTGGGAATGATGGCTTCACATAGAACATCTGTTCCAATGCTGTGTTAATCTGTCAGTAAGATTGGGGCTGTTTTACATTCTGGGAGTTCGTAGCCTTTCAATTAATATTAGCTCTATGTGCTCTGACACCAGACTTCCTATAAATTAGTGAAAAGGTTTGTGCTTTTGGTTTATTCTTGACATACTAGAGGCCCAGTGCACGAAATTCATGCACTTGGGTGGGGGGTGGGGGGGGTCCCTCAGCCCAGCCTGCACCCTCTCCAATCTGGGATCCCTCTCACAATCCGGGACTGCTGGCTCCTAACCGCTCGCCTGCCTGCCTGCCTGATTGCCCCTAACTGCTTCTGCTGCCAGCCTGATCACCCCCTAACCACTCCCCTGCCAGCCTGATCAATGCCTAACTGCTCCCCTGCCAGCTCGGTCGCCCCCAACTGCCCTCCTCTGCAGGCCGGGTCCCCCCTCAACTGCCCTCCCCTGCTGGCCTGATCTCCCACAACTGCCCTCCCCTGCCAGCCATCTTGCAGCTGTGGGCGCCGCCATCTTTGGGGGCATGGCAGTCAAGTAGCATATTCCCTCCTTATTGGCTATGGGTGCCATTTTGCCACAGTGTGAGAGTCAATTAGCATATTCCCTCTTGATTAGATAGGATTTCACTTTTTCACAAGAGAAAGGACTGTCCACAGAGCATTCAAATTTCTTTTACAGGATATGAATTATTGCCTGATTTCAATTTCTTTGAAAAAGTCCAAGGTTTGCCCAGTCTTGATTTCAGTCAGCCAGCAATGTTTTTAAGCTACATAATGGAAGTAGAGAAGAATCTATACCAGGGGTCCTCAAACTATGGCCTGCGGACCACATGCAAATACAAATATTGTATTTGTTCCCGTTTTGTTTTTTTACTTCAAAATAAGATATGTGCAGTGTGCATAGGAATTTGTTCATAGTTTTGGTTTTTTTTAACTATAGTCCAGCCCTCCAACGGTCTGAGGGACAGTGAACTGGCCCCCTGTTTAAAAAGTTTGAGGACCCGTGGTCTATAGACTCAGAGATGTGTCCTTTTTGTTTTATGGAACCTTTTTAGGAGATTATTAGGGACTCTGCTTACTTGGTTGTCATTGTTCAAGCTTTAAGTGATCTAAATTTAATGTTTAGCTAACTAATATTTAATTCCCCTTTCCTCCTATAGCTTTCACAAAATTGATCACAGTAAATGGACAAGAATATCATCTTCAACTTGTAGACACAGCTGGGCAAGTAAGTATCTCTCGTCTCTTTCTCTCCTACGGCACTTGTGGCAGTCCTGGCCCAGGCACTGACTACACACAGCAGCAAGGCCAGGAAGACCCTGGGACTTCAGGCCATCTACTGTGTTTTAAGTCACTTGGGGCTGTTTTTCAAATAATTAACTTGGGTTTGTACTTTAGAATTGTCTTAAATATATTCATAACATTGTGAAGGTTAATGCTTACTACAGGAGAGGAGTTTTTTATTTTCTAAATTTTATGTCAGACTCACATTAGTGTTTTTTCTCCCTTTGTGATGTGTGTTCCCCTACATTGAGAACAAAAGTAAGTCTTTTCCAGGGGAAAGGCATGAGAGGTAGGGCAACCCAGCTGGCTTATAGATTGATTATTTGATTACTAGATTAAGGAGTGTTGGTTTGATTTGCTGGACAATAGGTAATTGCCAAAGGTTAAGTAACTTTAATAAAAACACGATCTTTTCACAGGTTAATGTGGGGACTGGATCACCAGGGGAACTGACTGGAAGCAAAGGGTGGAAGAAATTAAGAGAACTTGAAGGGAACAAAGAAGCCCCTTTTTGTCGGCTTCATTTCCCTATTGCCATGGCACCCAGTCCAGCTTGTATAGAACCCATTCTGTTAGGCTGGCTTTATTACATTTCACTGGTGGGTGGGGAGTAGGAGGAGCCGCGATGTTGGATTCTAACTCCTCACCTTGCATCTTACAAATGACGAAGGACAGCTGGCAGGAGGTGTGTGTGGTGCAATCAAGTACCGGCTGTGTTAGGTGGGGGCTTTTACCTGGGGGAGTTGGGGTCGTCCTGTCTTGTTTGGAATAAACTGCCTCTGCTTTATGCTTTGATGTGAACATAGATAGAAGGAAAGCGTAGCCCCGAGTGAGGCAAGAAAATGTCGTCAGACCTCGCGGTTTTCTTAGAGCAGAGCCATCCTTGGCTTATTGTACAGTGTCCCGTCCAGGGGCAGAATGGGGTCTGGGAGCTGCTGGAATGGGGAACAAGAGAAGTCGCCAGAAGGGAATAATGGCACAGGGGACGCAGCCTGACCTGTAAACTAGTATAGAGAAGACTCGGGACCTGCTGTGGGTTTCTAGGGTTTGTATCTCTTATAAAGTGACTATAATTTATTGCCTAAAATGAGACACTTTTAAGAGTGAAGGGCACAGGTGTAATTATGCTGGGACAGCAGGTATACCAGAGTTCTGGGCAAAGAAATAATAGCCATGTTGTTTATAGTGGAGTGGACATTATCAGGATTTCAGTTTGCCTTTATACCTTTTTTTTTTTTTTTTAATCCTGACCCAAGGATATGTTTTTGTTGATTTTCTTTTTTTTTTTTTTTTTTTTTTTAAATATATTTTATTGATTTTTTACAGAGAGGAAGGGAGAGAGATAGAGAGTTAGAAACATCGATGGGAGAGAAACATCGATCAGCCGCCTCCTGCACATCTCCCACTGGGGATGTGCTCGCAGCCCAGGTACATGCCCTTGACCGGAATCGAACCTGGGACCCCTCAGTCCGCAGGCCGACGCTCTATCCACTGAGCCAAACCGGTTTCGGCTGATTTTCTTTTTTAGGGGGGGTGGGAGGGACGGCGTCGTAGAGATGTGAGAAAGAACCATTCACTGGTTGCCTCCTGTACCCGCCCTGACCAGGGATAGAACCCTCAATCTTTCGTTGCAAAGGGCGACACTCTAACCCACTGAACCATCTGGCCAGGGCTGTCTTTATATCCCTGTTTTGGATTTTCACCTAAGCTCATGGGAACTGGGGCTGAGGATGTAAATTGATCAGTCACATCCCTGTAGCGTTACTGTGGAAATAGCCCTCGTGGTCGGCCAGGAGAACCAGCACTTCATGGTTGTTTGGAGTGTGGGCTCTGCAGTTGCAGTGCCTGGGTTCCAGTCCTTGCTGTTCTTACTAACCAATGACATTGAGAAAGTCAGTGAACTTTTCTGTGCCTCGGATTTTTCATCTGTGAGATGGCAGTAATTGTGGTGCATGCCTTCACAGCATCGTTGTGGGGTTGAAGAGGATTTGGTCCTTATTTGTGGATCTGTGATGCTTCTCAGGCTAGAACAACGGCCTCACGTTGCAGCTCAATTGACATTTACAACTGGGGTAGAGAAACGCAGGTGTCTCCTACTTGGAGAAGAGCTGTCCTTGAGAACATTTGCATGGAGAGATCATCCTATCTAATAATAGACAAACATGGTAATTAACCATACCTCCGACACGCTTCCCATTGGCTAATCAGGGTGATATGCAAATTAACTGCCAACCAAGATGGCGGCCGGCAGCCAGGCAGCTGAAGTAAACAGGAAGCTTGCTTGCTCCAGTGCTGGAGGAAGCCAAGGTTCCCCGCCTGCCTTGCCGGGCTCTGAGCTGCCCTCTAAGAAACAATGTTGCAATTATAGAAGCTAAACAAACCCCAGATACCTGCTTTCAGCCATCAGAGCTGGAGCGAGCAGGACAGCAACAATGTTGCAATTATAGAAGCCAAACAAACCCTAAATTCCTGCTTTCAGCAGCCGAGGCCTCAAGCTGGAGCCGACCTCAGAGCTAAAGCCGGCTCTCAGCTCCAGTGACAGCCATAGAAGGTAAATAAATCCCAGAATAAAAGAAAAAAAGGAGAGGTTGGGAGCTTCAGTCGCCTGCCAGCCTGAAAACGGCCCTCAGCCCCTCACCCAGACTGGCCAGGCACCCCTGTGGGGACCCCCACTCTGAAGGGGGTGCGACCAGCTGCAAACAGCCATCAGCCCCTCACCAAGGCTGGCCAGGCACCCAAGCGGGACCCCCACCCTGATCCAGGACACCCTTCAGGGCAAACCAGCCGGCCCCCACCTGTGCACTAGGCCTCTATCCTATATAGTAAAAGGGTAATATGCAAACTGACCCTAACAGCAGAAAGACTGGGAATGACTGGTCACTATGACACACACTGACCACCAGAGGGCAGATGCTCAATGCAGGAGCTGCCCTCTGGTGGTCAGTGCACTCCCACAGGGGGAGCTCTACTCAGCCACAAGCCAGGCTAATGGCTGCCAGCACAGCGGTGGTGGTGGGAGCCTCTCCCGCCTCCTCAGCAGCGCTAAGGATGTCTGACTGCAGCTTAGGTCTGCTCTCCACTGGCAAATGGACATCCCCCGAGGGCTGCCGGGCTTCCAGAGGGATGTCTGATTGCCATGTTAGGCACAATCCCCTGGGGAGCAGGCCTAAGCCAGCAAGTGGTCATCCCCTGAGGGGTCCCAGACTGCGAGAGGGCACAGGCCGGGCTGAGGGGGACCCCCCCCCCCGCCCCCGAGTGCACAAATTTTTGTGCACCGGGCCTCTAGTCCTATATAATAATAGAGAAATATGCAAATTAACCATCCCTCTGCTATGCTCAAGCCTCGCCCACCAGCCAATCAGGAGCTAGTATGCAAATTAACCCAACTAATGGCGGTGGCGGCCATGGAGCTGGAGCAAGCAGGAGGCTTGGGTTGCCCCCGGCGATGGAGGAATCCAAGCTTCCCGCCTGCTGTGGCCTGCCCTCCACCCTGCTCAAGGCTACAAAGTTTCAATTATAGAAGATAGATAAATCCCAGGGAAAAAAAGAAGAAAAGGAGAGGCTGGGAGCTTGGGTCGCTGGAGGGCTTGGCCAGCCTGAAAACGGCCATCAGCCCCTCACCCAGGCTGGCCAGGCACCCCAGCGGGATGCTCACCCTGATCGGGGACACCCTTCAATGCAAACCAGCCGGCCCCCACCCGTGCACCAGGCCTCTATCCTATATAATAAAAGGGTAATATGCAAATTGACCCTAACAGCAAAACGACTGGGAATTACTGGTCACTATGACACACACTGACCACCACGGGGGAAGACACTCAATGCAGGAGCTGCCCCCTAGTGGTAAGTGTGCTCCTACAGGGGGAGCTCTGCATAGCCACAAGCCAGGCTGCCAGCTGCCAGCACAGCGGTGGTGGCAGGAGCCTCTCCTGCCTCCTCAGCAGCGCAAAGGATGTCCGACTGCAGCTAGACATTTAGTTTAGCCATTTCCCCCAGATGGCTCCACATTTGTTCCCTATGTGTTACTTTGTATCCTTCCTGATTTGAATGCCAACATTATCATATACCTAATTCCCATATCTGTTGGTTCTTGTAGAATTCTCAGTCAGCTCCATTCATGAGCCAGTACTGCACTACTTTAATTACTGCCGCTCTGTGGTTCCCACTCATGTGCCTCCACAGTTGGTTTTCTTTGTCAGGAAGTATGCTTTTTGCCCTGGCCCGGGTGACTCAGTGGCAAGTGGTCATCCCCCGAGGGCTCCCGGGCTGTGAGAGGGATGTCTGACTGCCAGCTTAGGCCCCCTCCCCGGGGAGCGGGCCTAAGCCAGCAGGTGGACATCCTCCAAGGGGTGGCAGACTGCGAGAGGGCACAGGCTGGGCTGAGGGGACACACACACACACACACACACACACACACACACACCCAGTGCACAAATTTTTTTGCGCCGGGCCTCTAGTTTCTTTATATTGACCCTCCTGGCCACTGTGGGAGGTGTGTTCCTCTGAGGTTCTTGTTTTGCTCTAAAGCAGAAACGTCCACTTGGCCATCACACTCCTGTAATTGTTCTAATGATAGAGTTTTACAAAGAATGACCCCAAAAGGATCCCATCTCAGGGAGTGAGTGTAGGAGTGAGGGAGAGACCAGAGCGAGGTCCATTTCCAGCTCTGCTTGTCTTTGCTGTTTTGGGTTCTGTTACTGCCAGATAAGAATATTTAGAGAATTTTCGCAAAAAATATATCCAAATTTAGCTATTTGGAATAATTTGTTCTCACAGCAGCTAACAGTTCTTAAAGGCTATATTCATGGCTAGGAGACCAGGAAATAAAAGGCTATGCTAGTATTTACCACTCATGATGGTGTGACACAGGCATTACCTTCTGCGGTCCACCCTGGTTCTGTAAAACTGGCTGGGATAACATCACTGCACCCCGGGCTCTTTTTAAATTGGGTTCACGTGGGCTTATTCTGGGCTTAAGACTGCTAGTAGGAGGGAAAGATGAGTGGGGGGCAAATTCTTTAAAAGTAACCTCGTCAGTTTGTTCACTAGCTTGCACTTTTTAGGAGGAAAATTAATTACACGTAATAAATGGCTGTATAGCAATACCTGACAGCAAGTGCTCTATGGTAGTTTGTGTTACACCTGGTGTCATTGCAGCAAGGGATGATGGTGAACATAGTTAAATACAAATTGATTATTTTTAGTTTGCATGAAATACTTTGTTTTGGTCTAATTTCAGTAGAGTCAATGACAAGTGAATCAATGACAGTCAGTTTTATACTGTCAAATTCCCCTTCAAAAAAAGAATTAAGTTTATTTTTTTAAATAGTAATAAATGCACCTGTTACAGAAAGAAAGCAACACAAAAAGGCAAATAGTAAACCTTAAGTCTTTCCCTCTCTAGCTACCTTAGCTTCACCCCAGCAGCAACTCCCATTATCAGTTTCTAGTATTTGCTTCCAAGATATTTTATCACCAACATTCAAGTATAGTTTTAAGGTTTTTGTTTGTTTGTTTGTTTGTTTGTACCCCACAAAGTAACACAGATCTATGTCTCCATCTTGGAGATTACCCCATATCAGTGCATGCGGCCTCTTTTTGTTTTCCCCATGGCTGCATAATGTCCTGTTATTTGAGCTATATCATCATTTAACCAAATGTTTCCAGTCTCTCCCGCCATTAGTGCCTCCATTGTACACTGTCATTTTAGACAGATGGTTTGTGTGTAAGAACATGCCTGGGTGTGGGATTGCTGGGCCATAGGGCCATGGTTTATATTCTCACCAGCAGTGAATCACCAACACAGTGTGTTACCAAATTTTTTATATCTATCCATCTGCTAGGTGAAAATTAGTATCTGTCATTTTAATTAGTGTTTATGAAGGAGTTTGATCCTATATTCCCTATTTGAGGACATCCATCTTTTCTGTGAGCTATCATGTCTATTCATGTACTTTCCCCTTTTTCTATTAGCTGGTTGGTCTCATTGATTTGAAGAAAATTAGCATTTGGTACATGAGCTGAGCGGCAAGGTTTTGTTTTCCATTTAAATTCTCCGGTCTACATTATAAACTTATGAACAAAAATAGATACAGAGGCAGAGCTGCCTCGAACAGACTGTCAAACTACAGCAGGAAGGCCAGGGAGGGTGGGAGGGCAGGAGGGGGGTGGGTAAGAGATCAACTGAAGGACTTGTATGCATGCATATAAGCATAACCAATGGACATAAGACACTGGGGGGTAGGGGAGGCCAGGGATTGTCAAGGGCGGGGGGGGGGCGGGGGGGGGAGACATATGTAATACTCTTTGTAATACTTTAAGCAATTAAAAAAAAAGAAAGAAAGAAAGAATGAAAGAAAAAAAATTCTCCGGTCTACCATGCGCAGCTTCAATTTTCATCTTTAAGTCTCATTCCTCCGGAATACGTGTTTGCTAAGGTGTGAGGTAGACATCCAGTTTAGCCATTTCCCCCAGATGGCTCCACATTTGTTCCCTATGTGTTACTTTGTATCCTTCCTGATTTGAATGCCAACATTATCATATACCTAATTCCCATATCTGTTGGTTCTTGTAGAATTCTCAGTCAGCTCCATTCATGAGCCAGTACTGCTCTACTTTAATTACTGCCGCTCTGTGGTTCCCACCCACCTGCCTCCACAGTTGGTTTTCTTTGTCAGGAAGTATGCTTTTTGCCCTGGCCCGGGTTAGAGTGTGGGCCCAAGCACCAGAGGGTCTCAGGTTCCATTCCTAGTCACGACACTTACCTGGGCTGCAGGTTCAATCCCTGGCCCTGGTTGGAGCATGGGTGGGAGGCAACCTATTGATGTGTCTCTCCCACATCAATGTTTCTACCTCTCTCTCTCTTCTCCCCTTTCCCTTCCACTCTCTCTAAAAATCAGTGGGAAAAAATATTCTCAGGTGAGGATTAACAACAAACGTATGCTTTTTGTCCAGCATCATGTTACTTTTATATATTAATTTAGGGTTAATCAGTGGATATCCTTACAATTCTGCATATTCTTGCTAAAGACAGCCATGCTCGCTGTTCCATTTATTTAAGTCCTTTATCTCAGGAGTATTTTAAGATTTTCTTTAAATGAAGCATATATTTTTGTTTCCTTCAGTTTGTTCCTAGGAATTTTGTCCTTTTGGTTACTGCTACAGCAGAAGATCTGTTCCTCCATTATACTTTCTAACTAGTTGTTTCTTGCGCCAACTTAAATAGGATTACTCTTTTTTTTTTTTTTTCACATCTTCCCTTCAGAGGAAACATAATTTGAACTTTGGAGCCACTGCAGCTGAGCTGGTGACTAAAATCATTTGGAATTTTGTTTTTAATCTGGGTAGAAAGATCTGTCATTCCATTAACAATTTGTTTTCAAAAATCAACCCTAAGACCGGCCGGAGCAACTTGGTTGGTTGAGCATTGTCCCATGAACTAAAAGATCACTGGTTTAATTCCCAGTCAAGGCACATGCCCAGGTTGTGGGCTCAAGCCCCAGTACAGGGTGTTATAGGAGGCAGCTGGTCAATGTTTTTCTCTCTCTTCCTTCCTCTCTCTCTAAAATCAATAAAAACATATTTTTAAAAAATGAACACTAAAATAAATTCACCTTAATAAAAGTTGTACTAATAAGGAAAATAAAGGTTTTATTTTGCATAGATAGTAAGCTCTGTGATGTAGAAATGCTATTTTCTGATTAATGACCACTATTTTTGATGTCAGAGAGTTGATAGGACAACTAAATTTTTCCTTTTGTTTTTAAAAGACACTTTACCATAGGGCAGAAATTCGGGGTTGTCATGGACACTAGTTGTAACCATACTATGGAATTGCAAAGTTAACAGACAGTTGCTTGCCCTGATTTTTCTATAATAGTGTTTGGTGTGTGTGGTATGTGGACAGTTCTGTTTCAACTGAGAGCAACATATTTGTACCAGGCAGGGGTGTGCACTGATGAAGGCTGCATTGACATTAGCCTCTCTGTGCTTTGATAATTCCAGATCTAAAGCAGTTTCATAAAGCCATATAAAACTGGGTGCCAGTACCCTGTTGCACAATGTGTACCTTTGTGTTTTTTTGTTGTTGTTTTTAAAATATATTTTATTGATTTTTTTACAGAGAGGAAGGGAGAGGAATAGAGAGTTAGAAACATCAATGAAAGAGAAACATCGATCAGCCGCCTCCTGCACACTCCTCACTGGGGATGTGCCTGCAACCAAAGTACATGCCCTTGACTAGAATCAAACCTGGGACCCTTGAGTCCGCAGGCTGACGCTCTATCCACTGGGCCAAACCGGTTAGGGCTGTACCTTTGTTTTTAATTCCTAAAGCTGTTCAGTAAATAACTCATTCCATCCTCAGATGTCTGGGTACTCACTCTATAGTTTCTCCGTTCTCTTCTCCTCCCCTCTCTCTCGAGTGCTTGTGGTCACCCAGCCAGTGATGCATGGTCATGATTTATGGGGGGCCCTTGTCTGTGGGCCTCTCATAGTGGACCCATGCCAGAGGAAGTTGCAGCCTCAAACCATTGCCCAGCCTCCTTACCCTTGGGCTGTGAGCACTGAAGGGGGCTGTACAGTGTAGAAATAGAGCGCTCCCCAGCTGAGGGCACTGAACGCTCCAGGAGGAGAAACTTCATAAACATGGAGCCTGTTTCAGAAATCCAGTGATCAGTGCTCAGGCCATTGTGACACACACAGAAAACAGGGCACGTGATAATACAACTATTTTATGTAGGAAAGTACAGATGTGTGGAATAAACCAGTAGCACTTGTGAATTTTCTGTGAGGTCTAAAAGATTCTGGACTTTTCATCCATAAAAGAGAACACAAACCAGTCATCTTTTCATTCCTTATATCCTCTTCTCCCAAGATTTACAGGAGTCAATTTTTAATATTGGCTTAAAGCACATGATCACCCCCAGACCAGTCTTAAATAAATCTTGAGTGTGTGGACTATGTTTCTAGAATAATATTGTAATCCATATTTTGTATACTTTGATTTCTTTGACCAGGAAATATGTGAAGAACTTTGGGTGAAGATTGCTTGTTATGCCAAGTGTAATCCTTTTTCTTCCACAGGATGAATATTCCATCTTTCCCCAGACGTACTCCATAGATATTAATGGTTATATTCTCGTGTATTCTGTGACATCGATCAAAAGGTAAGACTCAACGCCTCTTCCTTGCTTGAGTTTATTTGCTATGCAGAGATAGCATTAATCCTTATGCTGGAATTGGTGTAGTAACAATTAGACTTAATTACTAAGCTAAATGTTTTGTGGGACAAACAGGTTGTTAAAGGAAAAACAATATCCTGATAGATGTTCTAGATAAATAGTGATTGAACACAGTCTGAGCTTATCTGCTGATTGAAATAGGGAATGCATAAAGTGATTACTTTTTCTGTGTTTTCATCATGTAAATGTGGAACATGGGCTGACTGCTGGGGCCCTCTAGCTAAGGAATGTTCTACAAATGTTTATTCAGAGATTTTGTGGTTTGTCAGCTCAGTGTTAGACTTTTCCCATTAAATGTCAGACCTGTTTCATTTTGAATGTTCTCAATTGGGGTTACTGAGTGTCAAATACATGTACATGTGAAATATTGGTAGGAAAAAGAAAGGAATTCTTTGTGTTCGGTTTATTTTATTAAAATGGTGAATCTGGCATTTTCTGTGTTTCACACTAAAACTTTACATAATAAACATTTAAAACATGAACACTAAATTGGATGTCTGCCCTAGCTGGTTTGGCTCAGTGGACAAAGCATTGGCCTGCAGATTGAAGGATCCCAGGTTCAATTCCAGTCAAGGGCACATGCCTAGGTTGCAGACTCAATCCCCAATGCATGCAGGAGGCGGCCAGTCAATGATTCTCTGTCACCATTGATGTTTCTATCCCTCTCTCCCTCTCCTTTCCTCTCTGAAATCAATAAAAAAATATATTTTTTAAAAAATTAAATTGGATGTCTGACTTCATGTTTTTCCTTTTATAGTTTTGAGGTGATTAAAGTTATCCATGGCAAGTTGTTGGACATGGTGGGGAAAGTGCAGTAAGTAGGAACATTTTTCTCTCTCGTTAGATATACTCTTTCCAATAGCACCTTCTGGACAAACTGACTCGTTTTCTTTGCCTTTCTTTCTTATATTAACAGAATACCTATTATGTTGGTTGGGAATAAGAAAGACCTACATATGGAAAGGTATGTCGCTTCTAATAATTGCTGATTCATAGAATTGAGCCTGAGATGTTTAGTCCCAGAAGTCACGGGTTCCGTTGTTCGCCGGCGGGGGGTTTTAGCTGTGGTGCCTGTGTTCTGTGTTCAGGGAGGTGCGCGGTGCTGCTTGGCAGAAGCCAACTCACCTGCCTTGAAAAATGTTTCCTGGAGAAGAGGGGGAGCAAACACTGTAGAAAATTATCTTTTGTTTCTTCTATCATTTTGTGCAAAGCAGACACTAACAAGGCAATGGGAGCGTTCATTTATTCAACAGATTGTTTTTTGAGTGCAGGGTTAGGATTAGAGCAGTGGCCCCGCCGGCAGGAGACGCCGGCCGGATGCTGGCAGCCTGTGCGCAGCATAGCCATGGCCCTTTGGGGGTTGCCCCTGTCCTCGGGCACGTGCAGCTCTCTCTAAGATGTTGGGGTGTTGGTAAATGCCTCCTGTGAGCTGTGAGGGCTGCCAGGGCGTGAGTACTAGTACTCCCATAAGACAGTGTCTGTCTGTTCCCCGGCTCAGGTGGGAGTGATGCATGGTCATGATTTATGGGGGGCCCTTGTCTGTGGGCCTCTCATAGTGGACCCATGCCAGAGGAAGTTGCAGCCTCAAACCATTGCCCAGCCTCCTTACCCTTGGGCTGTGAGCACTGAAGGGGGCTGTACAGTGTAGAAATAGAGCGCTCCCCAGCTGAGGGCACTGAACGGAGCATGCACCTGCTCCAGGAGGAGAAACTTCATAAACACGGAGCCTGTTTCAGAAACCCAAGTACAGTAGATGTTTTATATAGTAAAGAGCAAAGCTCTTTAATGAGAATCTTTGTCCTTTAGGGTGATCAGTTATGAAGAAGGGAAGGCGTTAGCAGAATCTTGGAATGCAGCTTTTTTGGAATCTTCTGCTAAAGAGAATCAAGTAGGTATTTTTTAAAGCTCACTTTGCACTGCATCCCGTCAGTCCAGGCCTGTGCTCCTGTTAGCAGCTCAGCACTGTCTTCATTGCTCCTGTTTAATCCTGACCCTCCCACCATTCCTCCCATCAGGCTTTGGGTTGCCTCAGGGAGACACCATCTGTTTTATTTCAGCCAGTGTTCAACCTCATGGGACCTGGAATATTTGTAGGATAAACAGAAATTGATAGTAAAGGAAATACTGCCTTTGTGAACATGCATTATCGTGTTTGTTTTATACTAAGGCTGCTACAGAAGTAAGTCTAGACTCACCTGGGTGGGACGAGGCGGCCGTGTGCATGACCAAGTGTAGCAGAGACTCGGGTCTGCTTGGGGAGAGGCAGACTGTTCTGGATGAAGCTGTGTGCACCTAAGTTACTCATGTCCAAGACATTTTTGGTTAGTTGGGGAGATTGGATTATGTTTTTGATGTATTAGGAAAATGGTGTTAATTTTTTTAGGTGCGGTAATGGTATTGGGCTTATGACAAGAATATCTTTGTTCTTGAGAAATGCAAACCAAAGTATTTAGGAGCAAAGTTTCATAATGTCAGCAACTTACTTTCAAATGGGATGGGAAGATGGATAGAGAAAAAGAGAACAAATACAGCAAAGATGTTAACATTCGCTGAATCCAGCCAGTGGGGCTAGGTGGTTCTTGTACAGTTCTTTCTGTTGTTCTGTATAATAGAAAATTTGTGAGGTGGGGGAGTGAAGTTGAATGGTTGGCCTCAAGCTGTGTTCAATTCTGTTTGCTGACTTCACTGTGCTTGCTTCTCTTTGGTGAAAAACTGAGGGTCTTAAAGCAGTTGTTCTGTTTGACAGTAGAGTTAAGGAGGCAGCAGCAGCAGTGTGGACTGTTCATGCAGGCTGGTGTAACCACTTCTCAGTACGTGTGTGGCAGTTACTAATCCTTCTAGCAGTGTAAATGCCTTATGGAGTCTACCTCCAATGTGTTAAGAGGGATTGCTGAGTAGGGAGCATGGCTCAGGTTAATTTGTGTTTTTGAGAGTAACTTGAATGGTTAGCTTAAAGAGTGTTATTTGGTTTCAGGGTGCAGGCCTTTTCTCCAGTTTGTGTTGTGCTTTACTGTAGCTGAAGGGTTTAATGTGGTTCTGGATAGGTTTGCCCGTTAACCTTTCAGTTCCTTTAGAAGGTGGTGAACTGCTTTTGAAGACCCAGATAAAAGGTGAATGTGCTGCCGACGTAGGCAGACAAGCGCTGAGGTCAGGTGTTCCCATTGCTCACTGTCTGGGCTGCTCTCGCACCGTCATCATCAGGCCTGAAGTGAACCCTTTAAAGCAAAAGGACTGTTACACCCAAGTTAGGTGCATGCATTGGAGACATGCGTGTCCTTGGGAAGCAGGTCCTGAGCAGCTCCCTCACTGGCATTCTAGATGGCTCTACTGTCATGTCGTGGGACACCCCTGCTTGCATCCTCTGGGAATGTGCAGGAGATGTTGAGAGAGCCCTCAGCCTAGGGAAGGTCTCCAGGTCGGGTGGGGAGAAACTGAGTAATCCTAATCCCTGACATAGAGCTGGAGTGATTCTAATCCCCACACAGACTGGAATGCTTACTGCTGTTTGTGCGGTAGGGAGAGAAACCTGTCTCGTGTGCACTCGCACACCCACACCCACGTGGTCATGTGACCAGAGACCAGTTCCTGTGAACTGATCAAAATTTTATTGATAGATTTTCAAATAATTTGTATTACTTGCCAAAAATCCAATATTTCAAAAAAAACTTTCCTCAGCAGAGTTCAGTTTCACTGATAACATCATGGTAGTAAAAATTGCCAAGTCTGTGAGAATACTGCATTTTAACTGTTAATGGAGTCTGGGACGTTTGCAGTTTGGTTTATTTACCATGGAGGCCTTCGGCTATAGTTCAGCAATTTGATGAAAGAGAATATTTTTTGACAATCAGATTACATGGATTACTAAATTATAAGATTTATCTAGAAAGCCCGGTCCCAGACACACTATTTTCTTGGTAAAAGTTTGGCAAGTGTCATTCCCAACATTTTTCTGTGCATTATTTTCAGAATGAAATAAATAGCTTGTTTGTATAACCATGGGACGTGAGGGGGTGAGTCTGGAGGAGGAGGGGAGGGTTGCTGAATCAGTTAGACAGAAGGGCTGGGCCTGTGGCTGGCTTTGGCTTGACCAGGAGTCCTGCTTCCTACCAGTCGGAGAGAAGGGACCAGAGTAGATGAGCCCATAGGGTCCCTGACGGTCTCTCTGGATGTCGATTCTGTTTTTCTGGTGAAATATAAAACAGTCACCACGGAATGGGGAGGCTTTAGGAATTCAGAGGAAAGGGAAGACATGAAACCTTCATCTGGGGGAATGACTGAATGAGGGACATGAGCTGGGCTGCTGGGTGGCATCGAGGGTCCACTGCGTTCACGGTCCTGGCGGTGACAGCTGTCGCAGCGTGTTCCCAGGCTGCACTGCGTGTGTGGTGCAGGCACCGCGCAGGCTATTGGCAGAGAAGGGAGTCCACGTCCATGAGCACGATGGTGGACTGTGGAGTCTGCTGGCCCCAGGAGGAAAGTGAACGAGAAAGTGGCTAAGGGACAGGGAGAAGGTGGTCGGATCAGGGAGGCAGGACCGAGGATTGTTGAGTTGAGGCTATTGAAAGTGGAAAGGACGGTGAGGTGGTGGGAGACTTTTTTTTTTTTTTTTTTTTTTTTATTGGTGGGAGACTTAACATTGGGTGGCTGCTGCGGTGACGAGATCTAGGACTGCCCCCGAGGCTTTTGAGAACGGGTTTCTTTCATCATCACAGTGAGCACACTTACAGGACAGGCACTGGCGGTCCTCAGCGCTGTTCAGCATAAGGGAGGGTTCCCTGTCCAAAGGGGCAGTGCTCCTCCTGTGAGGGGCTGGGGGGCTCTGGGAGGCCAGGCTGCTGGGTCTGCAGACAGTGAAGGAAGGGGAAGTGGCTCGGAAGGATCGGGCTCAAAGGTGAAAAATGCCCTCTCATGGCATAAGTGTCAACACAGGTTTAAGGGAGTGGGAGGAAAACAGGTTCGGAGGAAGGGCAGCAAGAATGAGGGTTTGCCCGACCTTAGGCCCCGGGGTGCCAGGAAAGAGGGAGCATGGCCCTGGGAAGCAGTGTCGGAGGGAAAGGACAGCCCTCAGGGAGGTGGCTAGGCTGGTGCTGGACCTGGAAATCCAGAAGCACCAGGGGGAGGGCTGGGCTGGAGCCGACTCCTCCCTGTGGTGAAAGCAGGATCAGAAGCACGAGAGAAGATTAGTTCTGGTCTCAGGTCAGGTGGGAGGGGGTGCAGTGGGGAGGAAGGAAGACCAGTCTCTGGGTTGTGGGGTGGCCTTGGCCTCTGCGCCTGTGCCTGCAGCTGGGGGGCGGACAGCAGGCCTTCTCCAGTCCTGGCAGCAGCGGTAAGAGTGAGTCTCAGGCTTCCGCTGTAAAGCCAACACAGTCACGTTTTATTTCTTTTTCAGACTGCTGTTGATGTTTTCAGAAGGATAATTTTGGAGGCAGAAAAAATTGATGGGGCCGCTTCACAAGGAAAGTCTTCCTGCTCGGTGATGTAATTCTGCTGTGGGCCCGAGGCCACTGGGACCCGTCCTGCCCGGAGACGCAAACTGCCCGTCATCCTCGAAGATAAACTCTGCTTCGTTTTCCTTCTGTTAACCTGAAAGATTTATTTGGGTCAGAGCTTTTTCCCACCTGCCCCCCTTTCAGATTATGTTGAACTCTGACTATCCTTCTGAGTTCACTTCCACTTTCAAATTTTAAGCAATCATATTTTCAATTTATATATTGTATTTCTTAATAATATTATGACCAAGAATTTTATCGGCATTAATTTTTAAGTGTAGTTTGATGTTTAAAATAATGTAATCATCAAAGATGCATATTGTTACACTACTATTAACTAGGCTTCCATATATCAGTGTTTATTTCATTGTGTTAAATGTATACTTGTAAATAAAATAGCTGCAAACCTTAATCCCTCGCGCTACTTAGTGTGGCTTTTAAAGAAAACCATGTCGGTGAGGGCTCCTTCCCGGCCCCCAGGAAGGCTCAGGTTGGATTCCAGGAACTGGTGGAGGATGTGGCCACAGGCGGAGGCCAGCGGGGCCCACTGGGTGGCAGTGACGGTGGGGGCAGACTGCCGGAACTGGGGAGGGATCTCTGTTCACTAAAGCTGAGCGGTCTTGGGGGTCTGTGAGGGAGTCACTCCCAGTAATGGCTGTTCTCTCTCCACCCTCAGAGGCCCCCATCCCAGCCTTGACTGGAGGGCTTCCTGCAGTGGGGGCTGTGGCGGTTACTTGGCAAAGCCTTCTCGCCCAACTGCTTATCTCAGCTGCATGAAGGAAAGAGATGTTAGAGACACTTATTATCCCTCCTTTTTTAAATATATTACTGATTTCAGAGAGAAACGTCAATGAGAGAGAATCGATTGGCTCCCTCCTGCACGCCCCCTACTGGGGATAAAGCCTGCAACCCGGGCATGTGCCCTCGACCAGAATCGAACCTGGGACCCTTCAGTATGCAAGCCAGTGCTCTATCCACTGAGCCAAACTGGCTAGGGCTATTGTCCCTCCTTATGCTTAGCTTGATGTCCATGGCAGATGGGATCTAATTTACTTCGTTATTTTTATTTTTCAATTACGGTTGATATACATTATGTTAATTTCAGGTGTCCACCCAGTGACTAACCATTGCATAACTTACTAAGTGATCACCCGCCCGGTGACTCTCGCACCCTCTGACACCACACATGCTATTAGAATACCATGGGCTCTATTCCCAATGTTGTGCTTTACGTCCCATGCAGACAGCATCTGGCCTAGAGCGTAGATATTTGCCTGTCACCATCCCCAAACCTCCAGTAGTTTAAAGAACGGGGACTATTGCCCAGTAAGTGGGGTGTGGGGGGGCTTCGTGAACCTTCTCCAGGCCCAGCCGCATGCCTCCCGCCCACTCGGAGGCACAGCTGAAGGAGAGTGGGTCTGATGTGGCAGCTCCCACTCACTGGAAGTCGGTTCAAGCCCAGCTGTGCGTTAAATGCCCGTCCCAGTTGAATTTCACAGGGCATTGCTATCATTAGGAAATGTTACTAACAAAATGTACTTTCGCTTTGTGACTAATTTTTTAATGAAAAATTGCTTTTAGAATATGCCATTATTTTGGATCGTTTAAGTATTTGTCTCGTCATTCCAGGATGAAATTGGAGCTTTAGGAGACCTCCACCAAATACTTTTTAAATAAAATAAATTTTGACAATAGAGTATCATGACTTGTTAACAGGGCTTGTTCTTAGGCCTGATGTTAGGACTCGGTGCTCAGTGTATGGACCACGGTGACTCCGGGCCGGGTCACCGTCAGCCTTCTCCTCTGAAGCTGTCTGTGGGCGTGCACTTCGGCGGGCCATGCACCTGGAAACAGTTCACTGCACGGGGAGGGCCTCCAGGGCTGGGTCTCCTGCTGGGCGGCAGTGTGATCCTGTGTGTGTCCGTTCACATGTTTTCTGAGCACCTACTGTGTGCTGGACACTGTTCTAAGTGTCAAACAACAGAAATCTGAACCCTTGCAGAGCTTGCATTTGACCCCAAACCTGGGGACATGGGAGCAGGTTCTTCCTTGACTTGCTCACCTGCGTCAGCTGTTGGGTCCGAGCCCCTCTACAAGGAACTGGGCCTCCAACAGAGGAGACGTGAGACGTGGTAGGTATGGAAGACAGTCTTTGTGGTAGCCAAGTAGCCACTAGACAAAGTAGCTCTTCAAAGGAGTCTCACACAGTAGCCGCTGCTAACACAGCAGCCATTGCAAACACAGGAGCCATACCAAGCAGCTGCTGTACACATGGCCCTACATAAAAGCAGCCTCCAGCACAGGAGCTATACAAACAGTAGCCCAACCAAGCAGCCGGGCACCGGCCGGCCAATAATACATCTTCCCCATAACACAGCCCTGTGCTGGCTGGTCAGTGGCAACTTACATACAAGCATAAACAAGCTCAGACAAGAGGCAATGTGCCAAATAGTTGGGGCTGCAGAAAGGCACGCCTGCGCCGTGTGTAGGTGGTTGTGTCCTTGCTTTGCACCTGCGTATAGCAACTTAGCCTTGAACACCGTGATTAGGATTCCCACACTCAGATTGGCCTTGAACATCTGTTGTGCTCTGGACAAGGCCCCACACTTAGATCGGCCTTGAGCATCTGGCCTACTCTGACCAGGGTTCCCACAGGATACCACAGGGTAGGTCCATCCTGCTCCCCAGGGCAGCGATCCCGCCCACCAGACCGTTGGTTCACTCCCCTGATGGCCTGAGCTTGTTAGGTTCCGAGTGGCGGTGTAGCTCAGGACTTTCCGTGATGGGGTGCTCATTATCCCCCGCTCCCCGATGGTGGGGGTGGGGGTGGTAGAACCTGTTGTGCGCTAGGGTTCTGTTCACTCATGTTCCCCCTGTGGAGAAGGTAGCGCCTTAACCTACATGGAGGGACACTGCCTTAGCCCTGGTAGTAATTGGCCAAGGTCAACCAAATGCCTTCTGTGTCCGAGATGCAGCTAACGTATTATCCGAGCTGAAGAAATTCTTGCAACGGCCAGGTTTGACTTAAATGTTTTGTTATTTAATACTGTATTTCATCACTTCTGAGCCTTTACCTCTTAACATTTTTGAAATCGAAATGAGTCTAAAATCAGTGACAATGCATTATGTCATAAAAGGTAATGCAGTCTTAAAATTTATTCAAGTTCTTTAAGTGCAAATATAAAACTAGACATTTAGAACTACGTCACAAATCATAATAGATGCAAATTACACAAATTTAAATTAATGTGGTGAGATTTTACTAAAATGGAATTATCTGTCCACTCTTACCTCTCGAGCCTGCCAGTCCCCGGCGTGTCACCAGAGCACTCTCGCCTGAATTGCTCATCACCCCCTTGTCACCAAATCCAATGGGTGCTTTCTGGTTTCTTCCTTGACCCTTCGCATTGCAGACAGGTGACAACTGCTTTTCTCTGGACACCTGTTTCCCTGACAGCACAGCCCCCTGTCCTCCCAGCTCACTGTGTGTGTCCTCTAAACGGGCCCCTTTCCTATCCACCCCCTCCTTGATTTTATCCAGTCACATAGCTTTCACTACCTTCTTACCTGAACACCAACATTTGCCTCTCCTACCCTGACTTCTGTGGATTCCAGACTTACCTTGTCTTAATGCCTCATAGGCGTCTCCAATTTATTAGGAAATTGAATTCTCGATTTTCCTTGAAAACCTGGGCCTCCCCTAGACCCTGTCTCGGGAAAACACCATTGTCCGCCAGTTACTAAAGCTGGGGATTTGGGGCCGTTCTCTACCTCTTTCCTACACACTCCCCAGCCCATCCAGTCCAGCAAAGGCTAAGGCACTGCCTCCTGGACCGCGCTTGCCTCCGCCCACTTCCTCCGTCTCCACTGCATGCTGGTCTGTCATAGCTCACCCTCCAAAGTACTTACAAGTCAACTTGTTGAAAACACAGTCTTGTGTTACTCCCTGGCGGAGAGTCATTTAATCATGTCCACAGCCGAGCTGCCTGTCCTCGAGGCCCCGCCTGAGCTGTGCTGCTTGACTCAACCTCACCTGCCAGCGAGGCCAGGCTCCCGTCACCCTGGGCCCGGTCGCTTCCCGGGAAAAAGCTCTTCCCCCCGACACCCCCGTGCCGCCGCCCTCTGCCCAGGCTGCCCCTTCCCGAGGCTTCTCATCCGCTGGGGCTCCACGTGGGCTCCGCTCCGCGCACTTGTCAGAGCCCCGGGGTTGATCACAGCGCAGCATGTGTCACCACGGTCAGCTCGGTCCTTGTGTGTACTGTTACTGGACTAGATGTGACTACAGCAGAGACGGGGGCCTACCGGTGTGTCTCCAACTCCTTGGTTCCCCAGCTCCTAGCACAGGGCCTGTGAATATTGTAGAGACTTTCCAGAATACCATTGTAATTTCCTTGTAGTTTCATAGTCATAAATATATGTTATTATCTATTTTCTTCGTGGTTGCCCTAGGAATTACAATTAACAATGCAGTTTGGGTAAATACCCTGTATGTAGTCCCATCCCCTCCACCTCATTTGTACTATTGTTGTACAAATTATATTTTTATATATTGCATTCCCATCAACAGACCTGCTATTGCTTTATGAAGTCTCCTTTTAAACCTAATAGGAGAGGAAATGTCACAATAAAAAATACATGTATCCTGTCTTTTATAGAAATCACCTGTTACTTTTACTGGTGCTCTTCCCTTCACGTGGATTAGCAGTGGTCGGCAAACTCATTAGTCAACAGAGCCAAATATCAACAGTACAACGATTGAAATTTCTTTTGAGAGCCAAAGTTTTTAAACTTAAACTGTATAGGTAGGTACATTGTTTTTAACTTAATTAGGGTACTCCTAAGGCTTAGGAAGAGCCACACTCAAGGGTCCAAAGAGCCGCATGTGGCTTGCGAGCCGCAGTTTGCCGACCATGGGATTAGAGTTAGTCAAACCTCGTTTCTTGAACGTCTTCCATCTCAAACAATTCGGTTCATGACCAAGTTGTTCACAAAAAAAAATGTCTCAGTTATCCACCAAAACTTCAGTTTTCAGCCTGACAACCCTTTCCTGCTGAAACCTCAGCAAGAGAGAAAGCTCTCTCAGGCAACAGGCAAAGGAGAGAATGCTTTTGCTCCTGGCGACATAGATTTGCACAATTTTAAAACATAAAGAGACCATCAAGAGTGCTGATGTTGCCAAAAGCGGTTTGGCTCAGTGGATAGAGCGTCGGCCTGCGGACTGAAGGGTCCCAGGTTCAATTCCGGTCAAGGGCATGTGCCTGGGTTGCGGGCACATCCCCAGTAGGAGATGTGCAGGAGGCGGCTGATTGATGTTTCTCTCCCATCGATGTTTCTAACTCTCTATATCTCTCTCCCTTCCTCTCTGTAAAAAATCAATAAAATATATTTAAAAAAAAAAAAAAGAGTGCTGATGTTGCTAAGGGTGTGAAAGTGCTCACAAAAGAACAATCACAGGCTATTGAATAGGAAAAAACAAAAGCAAAAACTGTTGATTGGATAAATAAATGAAAAGCAGTTAGCTGGTGACAGCATTTCAGAGGCAGTGATATGTGAAAAATTCCTTTAAGGCCAGTAGGGAGTGGTTCCATAAGTTTAAGAAAAGATGTGTTTGTTTATAAATTAAACAGGACATTAGACATGTGCTGTATATAAGAAAGGTTAAAGCAGGGAATCACTTGGGGGTCTGAAACGGATTAGTGCATTTTACATCCTTTCTAATGGGAAAAATGATTCCGTTTTCGAATAAATCACTTCTCGAACAGCCTTCCGGAACGAATTAAGTTGGAGAAACGAGTTCCGCTGAAGTGTCTGGCATTCTCTGACTCAGCCTGCGGTAGTCCCTTTAGTGTTTCCTGTGGGACAAGTCTGCCAGCGGTGACTTCTCCGCCTTCGCTCCCCTTTGCTCTTGGTGGCAGGTTTCCCAGCCCACCTTGCTCAGCCCAGCTCTGGACCCACCTTGTCCGAGTCTTTCATGAGCAGGTACATGAGAGGCAGGCATGTGTTGCCTTTCAGGGCCCACCTTGGGAATCTCACTTTCCAGCATTTTCTTGTTTGGGAAATAAAAAAGAAAAAAAGCTTTTTTTCTAAGTTTGTTGTTCCCACCTCCACCCCCACCCCCGCCTCCCTCACGTCAAATAAATCTCAGCTAATTGCCTTCAGGGAAAAGGCAAGACAATTAAAGACAAGCCTTGTTGGTGGGGTTTTCCAGGGAACTGCCAGGCACTGCAGGGTTTTGGTTTTTCTATATATTTTTTTTTAATTGATTTCAGAGAGGAAGGGAGAGAGAGAGAGAGCAAAACATCAATGATAAGAGAGAATCCTCAATCGGCTGCCTCCTGCGTGCCCCCTACTGGGGATCGAGCCGCAACCTGGGCATGTGCCCTGACCAGGAATCAAACCATGACCGCCTGGTTCATAGGTCGATGCTCAACCACTGAGCCACACTGACCAGGCATCACTGCAGGTTTTGACAATCCTCAGAGCAAAGGGCTTTGACGCACTCCAGCCTCACCTGGAGGGTTCCAGGGGCTGCTGAGGGGGTCTGGCAAGAGGGCAGTGGCACGCCACCGAGCTCGTGCTGAGAGGAAGACTCGGACTGCAGCAATCCTTCAGTGCGCAGAGGTGTGGCAAAGTTGATTTCGGGGGACAGTTTTGGCAGCCTTCTCCCTGGTTCTCAGAGGTCCTACTGCACTAT